AGGTTCAAGCGATTCTTGTGCCTCAGCCTCCCGAGTAGCTGGGATTATAGGCATGTGCCACCACGCCCCGCTAATTTTTGTATTTTTAGTAGAGACCAGGTTTCACCACATTGGCCAGGTTGGTCTCGAACTCCTGACCTGAAGTGATCTGCCTACTTCAGCCTCTGAAAGTGCTGGGATTGCATGGGTGAGCCACTATGTCCAGCCGAGGAAAGAGGTTTAAAATAACTTCTAGGTTTCTAGTTTGGATATCTGCATAGATGGTTCTATTCGCTTAGAGGGAATCTGCAGGAGAAGCAGATTTGGATGGGAAATTTTTTTTTTATTTTGAGTTGCAGTGTCCACGGGGCCAGTCAGTGACTTTTTTCTTTTTTTCTCTCTCTTTTTTTTTTTTTTTTGTTTTGGGGACAGTCTTGCTCTGCCAGTCAGGCTGGAGTGCAGTGGTGTGATTACGGCTTGGTGCACACTGCAGCCTCAACCTCCCGGACCCATGCAATCCTGCCACCACAGCCTCCCAAGTAACTGGGACTGTAGGCGTGTGCAGCCACGCCCAGCTTATTTTTCAATTTTTTGTAGAGATGGGGTTTGTCTATGCTGCCCAGGCTGGTTTCTAACTCCTGGCATCAAGTGATCCGTTAGCCTCCCAAAGTGCTGAGATTACAGGTGTGTGCCATCACGCCCGGCCTCACCAAGCGCTGGCTGCATGGCCAGTTCTGGAGCCCGGGAGCAGGTTCTGGGTTGAGGGAGTCACCCTGGGAGTTATTTGCTTGTGGGTGATCATCAGAGCCCTTTGTTTGGGTTCGAAATCCCAGGAAGAGTGCGTAGACTGAGCAGAGAAGGGGGCCAGCCACCTCCATAGAGGCAGGGAGAGCAGCCGAGCTGGAGCCGGAGGATTGCTAGCTGGAGAAGGCCTGCAGTCTTGTCACGGAAGCAAGCAAAGGGTCTCTTTCTACTCGATGAAGGTAGTCAGCACTGCCACAGGGTGGACAGGGCTCAGGTCCCAGGAGGAGGAGGAGGAGGAGGAGGAAGGCACACTGGAGCCTGGAGTGTGGGTGGTCCCCCCGCAGGTGTCAGATTTCGGGGGTCGAGGAGAGGATGGGAGGTGAAGAAGCAACACTGTCACATGAGTTATTCTGAAGGAGAAGGAGCCGTGAAGCCGAGTAGACAAACGAGTGTTACCAGCTTTTTGATGGAAAGGAAAGTGCCGGTTGAGGAGAAGGGGTTGAAGATGGAAGATGGAGGGAATGGGCTGGAGGTGAAGGCTCGGGTTCAGTGGTGGGACTTAGGGGGCCCCGGGGCAGGGGTGTGCCCACTTGGCATCATGTTTGCGGGTGGGTGGCCTGGAAGATGAGCGTGTCCAAGCGTGGGTGGCCCCTGGTTCCTTTGAGGTAGGAGGTGAGATGCTGAGCGTGAGGGCCATGTGCATTGAGGGCTCAGAACAATCTGGAAGCCCCAGGGTGCCATGACCTCGCCAGTCTGCAGTGAGCTGTCTCCAGGAGGGGGCTCCTGGAGAAAACAGGCGGGAGAGACTGAAAGGGTCTCAGCTGGCGGGACAGGAAGCATGGGCCCGGAGGCTGGCCTGGGAGGAGACGAGGGGACCCAGGCCTTGGCGATGGGGATGAGATCAGAGAGCTGCAGCTTCCACCCTGGGTGCCTTCCTTGCCCTGCCCAGAGCGGCAGCCACACTGCTCTTTCTCAGAAGCCCTGTAACTTTGTGTCCCCTGCCCCATCCAGTTCGCTCCCAGGACCCCGGGCAGCGGCGGGTGCTGGACCGGGCAGCCCGGCAGCGTCGCATCAACCGGCAACTGGAGGCCCTGGAGAATGACAACTTCCAGGATGACCCCCACGCAGGACTCCCTCAGCTTGGCAAGAGGCTGCCTCAGTTTGATGATGATGCGGACACTGGTGAGGTGGATGGAGGAGAAAGCGGGGTATGGGACTGAGAGGAGGCAGGAGAGTCTGCCCAACTCAGGCTGCGGGAGGACCCAGGAGCTCCTGGTACCTCTGCCGGTGACTGGCTCCCATGGCTGTGAGCAACCACACCCCCTTTCTGTGCCTCAGTTTCCTCTCGTGTATGTGAAATAAACAAGAGAGACTGGATGAGCTCTGACATGAAGCCTTAGGCTTGGGGGGCATGGAGGTGACGGTCGGCTGGGATTGGAGAATTGGGGTGGAGGGCAGAGGCTGGTAGCGAGAGACCGACTTAGAGCCAGGAGGGCAGGGCCAGGTGTGGTGGCTCACACCTATAATCCCAGCACTTTGGGAGGCTAAGGTAGGCAGATCACTTGAGGTCAGGAGTTCAAGACCAGCCTGGCCAACGTGGTGAAACCACATCTCTACTAAAAATACAAAAACAAAATTAGCCAGGCATGGTGGTGGACACCTGTAATCCCAGCTACTCAGGAGGCCAAGGCAAGGGAATCACTTGAACCCGGGAGGTGGAGGTTGCAGTGAGCCAAGATTGCACCACTGCACTCCAGCCTGGATGACAGAGTGAGACTCTGTCTCAAAAAAAGAACCAGGAGGGCACATGGGCACGGGGAGTGATGAACCAGAGAAAGCTGCTGTCTTTCTGGGCAAGTGCCAAGCAACTGATCGCCTTTGACCCCTAGGAAAGAAAAAGAAGAAAACCCGAGGTGATCATTTTAAACTTCGCTTCCGAAAAAACTTTCAGGCCCTGCTGGAGGAGCAGGTGAGAGGAGGGTCGGCCTGGGAGGACCTACAGGGAAGGGGTGAGCCTGGCCCCAGCAAGTGTTTGCTGCGCGGGTGGGTGGAGGAGTCTTAGAGCTGGCCCGTTGTCTCTGCAGAACTTGAGTGTGGCCGAGGGCCCCAACTACCTGACGGCCTGTGCGGGACCCCCATCGCGGCCCCAGCGCCCCTTCTGTGCTGTCTGTGGCTTCCCTTCCCCCTACACCTGTGTCAGCTGCGGTGCCCGGTACTGCACCGTGCGCTGTCTGGGGACCCACCAGGAGACCAGGTGAGCGTGAGACCTGCTGTCCACACCCACTGCCTCCTTCCCACAGCCTCCCCAGACCTCTCTCCCCTCATCCTGGCTTCCTCTCTGTCTGCAGGTGTCTGAAGTGGACTGTGTGAGCCTGGGCATTCCCAGAGAGGAAGCACCGCTGTGCACTGCCTGGCCTTCAGAAAGACAGTTTCATCACCCAGTGGAGGGGGAGCTCTTCCTGGACCGAGGGAGGAGCCGCTCATTCACCCAACAAAACTGTGTCTTATCTGCCAGGAAAGAGCAACCTCACTCCTGGGAACGGTCTGGCAGGTAGGCTGGGCCCCCAGTGCTGTTAGAATAAAGAGCCTCGTGCCGGAAGCCTACCTGTTTGGTCGTGGTGTGTTTGAGGTGATGGCGATGGGTCACCTGTCTCTCCTGCTCATGGCTCCATCTCTTCCTCCTGCCTCCCACTCACCCCTGCCACTGTCTGCCCCTCTGTGTCCCTGATCATGAGAGATTCTGTCCCATTCTCCTGCCACCCCCGAGCCCCTGCCCTCCTTGGCTACTTCTCTAAGTCTTTTTGGTTATTGATTTAGTTGTTTAAACTATTTTATTTATTTATTAGAGACAGGGTCTCACGCTGTAACCCAGGCTGGAGTGCAGTGGTGCAGTCTCGGCTCACTGCAACCTCCGCTTCCCAGGTTCAAGGGATTCTCCTGCCTCAGCCTCCCAAGTAACTGGGATTACAGGTGCCCACTACCATGCCCAACTAATGTTTTTGTATTTTTTTAGTAGAGTTGGGGTTTTGACGTGTTGGCCAGGCTGGTCTCGAACTCCCAACCTCAGGTGATCCACCTGCCTCGGCCTCCCAAAGTGCTGAGATTATAGGCGTGGGCCACCGCGCCCGGCCATGATTTTACTTTGTATTTCTCCAATTGCTATATTTTCAAAGTACAGCTAGGCTCCAGGGATGGGTGACAGGGAGGTGGCGGGAGGACTGTGGAACAGGTGCAGAATGGTACCCCGGAGGGAGCTGGGCCTGTCTTTGTCTTAAGGTACTTAAGCAAAGGGGAGTGGTCGAGTCCTTATCCTTGGTGCTGCCAGACCGAGGGAGCAGTTGTCCTTAGGAAGCCCGTTACCAGGAGCTGCAGTGTGTGAAGTTATTAGCAGTACAGAAAACCCAGAAGTTTCTGGGAAACATGACAGAATTCATGGTATAGATCTAATTTGTCCAACCTGCAGCCCACATGTGGCCCAGGATGATTTTAGTGCAGCCCAACACAAATTCGTAAACTTTTTTTTTTTTTTTTTTTTTTGAGATGGAGTCTCGCTCTGTCGCCCAGGCTGGAGTGCAGTGGCCGGATCTCAGCTCACTGCAAGCTCCGCCTCCCGGGTTTACGCCATTCTCCTGTCTCAGCCTCCCGAGTAGCTGGGACTACAGGCGCCCGCCACCTCGCCTGGCTAGTTTTTTGCATTTTTTAGTAGAGACGGGGTTTCACCATATTAGCCAGGATGGTCTCGATCTCCTGACCTGGTGATCCGCCCGTCTCGGCCTCCCAAAGTGCTAGGATTACAGGCTTGAGCCACCGCGCCCGGCTCGTAAACTTTCTTAAAACATTACGAGATTCTTTTGCGATTTTTTTTTTCTTTTAGCTCATCAGCTATCATTAATGTTAGTGAATTTTATGTGTCTCCCAAGACAATTCTTCTTCCAGTGTGGCCCAGGGAAGCCAAAAGAGTGGACAGCCCTGGATTAGAGGCCCGTGGTCTTGGTGGCCCTGGGTGCTGTGACACATGTGAACTTCTTATACCTATCCCTTGTCTAAATGAATTGCAAACTGTGATCTCGTAAGGTCCTTTTGGTTGCTGAACCCTGTTAACCTCATAGCAAAGCAAGTGCTTGTAAGTATCCGTTGAACAGATGACCTCATTAAGATATTAGAGAGATCCAGCAAAGTCAATGTTAGGCACCATCTTTGTTTTTTTTTTTTTTTTTCCCTGAGATGGAGTCTCGCTCTGTCGCCTAGGCTGGAGTATAGTGGCACCATCTCAGCTCACTGCAACCTCCACCTCCCAAGTTCAAGTGACCTCATGCCTCAGCTTTCTGAGTAGCTGGGATTACAGGCACCCACCACTATGCCCAGCTAATTTTTGTATTTTTTTGTAGAGATGAGGTTTCAACTTGTTGGCCAGACTGGTTTCGAACTTTTGACCTCAGATGATCCACCAGCCTCAGCCTCCAAAGTGGTGGGATTACAGGTGAGAGCCACCATGCCTGGCCAGTCACCATCTTAGGCCTTCACTTTGGGTTCTTTTTTGGGGGTTGGCTCAAGTATTCGCCAGGGTTTTCCTGAGGAACTGCCTTCCTTTCTCTGAAGACTTGCAGCTGGGCACGCGGTACTGGTTTTGGTGTTAGCTTCATGTTGCGGGGCTGATGTCAGGATTCAGAGACAATCCAGGTGAGGTGGTTTTTCAAGATGGCTCAAAATTCTTTGTCCTCCCATTAGAAAGTGGAGTGTTATGGCTGGGCGCGGTGGCTTACACCTGTAATCCCAGCACTTTGGGAGGCTGAGGTAGGCAGATCACTTGAGGTCAGGAGTTTGAGACCAGCCTGGCCGACATGGTGAAACCCTGTCTGTACTAAAAATACAAAAATTAGCTGGGCATGGTGGCGTGTGCGTGTAGTCCCAGCTACTCTAGAGGCTGAGGCAGCAGAATCGCTTGAACCTGGGAGGCGGAGGTTGCAGTGAGCCGAGATCGCACCACTGCACTCCAGCCTGGGCAACAGAATGAGACCCTGG